GGGGGTGGGGGTGATGGACCGGAATAGGGTGAGGAAGGCACTGTGCAGATGGGGACAGTTTGAGATGGGAGTTACAGCCCAAGCAGCGTGAGGAGGGTCAGAAGGCATGCAGTGTAGATGGGAGATTGGTTATTATACACAGGGGATTAACTAAATGAGTGAAAATATTAAGGATAATGGAAGGCACGTTTCTTACAATTGGAGGAGGGAATTGGAGCTATGAAAAGGGAGAGGACTAGAGTCAACTAGTGGTGCTGGATTGGAAGTGGAAACATTAACGTGGAGACTATATATATATTCCTTAGCTTTGCCCACTGAGAAGGCCCGAGAGCAGTGACCCCAGTAGTAATGAGCATACTTATCACTAAGATCTTGGCTTTTAAATACCATTTTCCACAAGAGGAACCAATATTCTTTAGAGAAATGGCTGCTTCCAGGACAGGATGGGAATGTACAAGATGAGCCTCAACTGCTTTGTTGTGAAAGAATGATGGGGACATGTCAAAAGGATGCAGACGCCAGCTTGCGTGGGCTCCCATGGCCAAATCAGGGACAATTTGCACATCAAAATTGATAAAGATAGTAAAGGGAGGTAACACATTAAACAAAATAGGAAACCACACGTTTATATTGATAAATTTTCAAATGAATAAATAGAAAGTTTAATGAGGAATGGGAACTACAAAATGCTTTTTTATTACAAAAGCAGGGAAAATAGGGACTGGACTGTGGAGAAGCCTGGCGCACACACACCCCTTTCATCAGGTGATCGAAGTGGACATCCTCAAAGCCGGACAAATCGAAATCACCTGACGGGATGCAATGAGAAGACTGCATTGCTTCTGTGATATCCCTGCCGAAGGCACATGACCTTGATTTAGTCATGAACATATAGCAGACAAATGCAAATTGAGAGCTATTCCATAAAATATGTGTCAAGGTCAGGGAAGTCAAGGAAAGTTGAGGCTTGTTGTAAACTGAAGGAGACCATTGACAACTAGATCCAGCACTTGATCCTGCCCTGGATCCTTTGCTGTGACGGGCATTGTCAGCAATGAGTGAATCTTGAATCGGGTCTGCCCATTGGATGGTGGCCATGTACAATGTAACAATGCAAATGTCCTGAGTTTGATGCTTGTATAAGAACACTGCCCCTTCAACGTGCATACACATCACCCAGGGATCTTCTTAAGGTGCAGATTCTGATGCAGTGGGTCTGGGTGGGGCCTGAGATGCTGCCTGTCTAACCTGTTCCCAGGAGAGTCCCATGCTGCCAGCCAGGGGACCACACTCAAAGTCGCCAGGACCTGGGGAACCTGTGGTGAACAGTGTTTGCCTCCTAAACCCACCCCATCACCTCTTTTGGTTCCAGACTCTGGTTTTCTTTTGGGGACAATCTCCTCCCTGGTCTCTGCGCTCCTGTTTTGGGTCAAATGGTCCTCAATGCTCAGGCGTGAAGCATGTGACCTGGGCCCGCACCATCCCATACCCTGGCCACTGAGAGAGCTTCAAGGCTGGTCCTGAGACCCAGCCAGGGCCAGTGAGACACAGCTGTAAGAGACCTGGCTGAGCTGGCACAGCCTCTATAAAACTCTTCACCTTCTGGAACCTTCCTGGGATTCCAAGCCTTACGGTGGCTCAGGCCTTGCCGTCTGCCCTCTAACTTTTAAAGATTTAAAAGGCTTTTTTGAACCCATGAGATTCTACCACATAGTAGCTCTGTGACCTTGCTCAGCATACAAACTTGTCTGTGCCTCAGTTTCCTCATCTTTGGGATAATGCCCACTCCACCGCAAAGGTTGTTGTGAGTGTTTTGTACGGTGCCTGGCTCAGAGTAGATGCTCAACAAATGTTTTAATTATTCAGTTTGGCTTTGGGGGCACATGACCCCACACAGAGAGGAGGGATACAATTCGCCACTAGCTTTTAGGTCACTGTCTGTCTTGACAGAGGCCAAACAGAGTCCGGGGGTTCTGGAAGAGGAGGCCAAATATCCCACTGGCTATTATGTTCTTGCTTCCTCTGGGCCTTATCCGTTCCTGCCTAGTTTGGAAGCAGCCGGAGTGCCCATCAGTAGACGAGTGGATAACAAAGCTGTGGTACATTTACACAATGGAATACTACTGGGTCGTAAAAAAAAAAAAAAAGGAACTCTTACCTTTTGCAACAGCATGAATGGACCTGGAAAGTATTATGCTAAGTGAAATAAGCCAGTCAGAGAAAGACAAATACCATGTGATTTCACTCATATGTGAATCTAATGAACAATTAACCTAACAAACCAAAGAGAAACAGACGCACAGATACAGAGAACAGACGGACGGCTGTCAGAGGGGTGGGGGGCTGGGGGACTGGGTGAAAAAAGTGAAGAGACTAAGAAAACAAAAACCACACCTCACAGGCACAGACAACAGTATGGTGATTATCAGCGGGAAAGGGGTGGTGGTAGGGGAAGTAGAAGAGGGGAGAAAGGCGGATAAAGGGTGATGGAAGGAGAATTGACTTGGGGCAGTGAACACACAATTGAAAACAATCTTGCATGGCCTAGTTACTCGATTGCTACCTATTTGCTCCCATCCGGTATTGAGTTGCCTCTATAAATACATATCAAAAGGAAATAAATGAGCAACATTGTAGGTGCCTCAAGTATGGTTTTCATGCTCCCAGTCATCTTAGGCTCTGGCCAGTGATTAGAAATCCCTTTCGACTGTCTTTATTCTGCTGCCATCCTGTGGCCAGCTCGTGCCACTGCAGCACCGTGGCCGGATGTCGCTGAGCAGCTGTGCTCACTGTCCTCCTTGTGCCCGCAGGGGCTCTTGGGCGGAAGGGAGTGCCGTGGAAAGGTCTGCTCGAGTCCCTCACCAGCGGGCAGGCGTCGGGCGTGAATCACCAGTCTTGACTTGATTTCTGTTTGATGAACTTTAAGGACACATAGTACAGGGCCACGAAGCCAGCACTGATGCCGATGAGGATGAAGTAGACGGCGTAGAGCGGGTAGGAGTTCAGGTGCATATTGGTGAGGATCTGGGGACACAGACATCAGTGAGCACATGCAGAAGGTGGTCAGCCGGATGCCACGTGCTAGGCGCCCGAGCCCTCGGCTACTTACTTTGTCTCCCGGGATAGGGAAGGTGAGGTTGCCGACTACCAAGTGGTAAGTTTGCCCTTTAAAATGAATCTGCATCAGCCCTTCAAAACACCATCGGAGGAAGGACACGTTGGAGATCCAGGCGGGCACTGAGGACAGAGGGAGCCGCATTATTCACACCAGCGGACCCCCTGCTCCCTGCGAAGTGAGCCTGCAGAGAGGGCCCTGCTGGCCCTGCCCCTGGGGAAGCAAGTCCCCTGAAGGAGCAGGGAGAGGAGCGGACAAGAGGGTGAAAGGGCAGAGGGGCAGCTTGGGACAGGGCAGGGGGTGGGGGTGGCGAGTGGCCACGGGGTCAGTGCGTGTTGGTCCATAACAGTGGTTCCAACCTTGGCTGCACCTTAGAATCACCTGGGAATCTTTTTAAAATCCTGATTTCTGGGCCTCATCCTCTGGAAATTCTGTTTCTTTGTTACTAATGTTGTGGCCCCATCCCATAACAAAGAAACAGAATTTCTGGAGGATGAGGCCCAGAAATCAGGATTTTAAAAAGATTCCCAGGTGACTCTAATGTGCAGCCAAGGTTGAGAACCACTGGTCCTTAACTCCAGAGAGTAAGTTATTAGGTGCCCCTCCCAGTACGTGCTCAGCCTCCCTGAGCGGAGGGGCTGTAGAGACTCAGCAGACCCAGAGGAAGATTTCCGAGTCTGTGTCCTGACCCTGTGGAGGTTTGAGGGGGAGGGGAGGAGGAGGAACACTGCGCCCTGCCTGGGAGGGTCAGGAAAGGCCTGGCAGGAGGAGGAGCCAGGAAGGTGGGGAGTGGTGTTTCCATGGAGAGGAGGCCTGGGGTATGTGGTGTGGGGGCTTCAGAGAGCTGGGTGCGGGCAGCAGGGCGTGAGCAGCCTGCCCGCCCCCGTGGGTTTGCCCTTAGAAAGCTCACTCTGCATGGGGAAGGCTGAGAGGGACGTGGAGGGACCAGGGTACAGAGACCAGGCTATGGCCTGGCCCAAGATCGGATGATAAGACCAGAGCTAAGGGGTAAAGCGATGAAACATTTCAGAAAGATTTGGGAGGCAGAGTGGGCCTGGCTCGCTGTGATGTGGAGGGTGAGGGAGTCAGGGTGATGTCCAGGTGTCAGGTGAGGGTCATTCCCTCGGCATGCAGGACAGCTGGCCCTCAATGGTGAGTTCAGACCTCCAGGCCAAAGCTGGCTGAAGGTTCAGAAGGCCTCCACCAGCTTGACCAGGTGAGGGGAGCAGGCCTCACCTGTCCACAGGTTGCTCAAGCTGATCATGAAGCCCCCGGTCAGGTAGAAGGAGTTGTAGAGAGCGTTGCCGAGGAAGGAGGACATGTGGAAGGTGGGGAGCAGGGCGGCGGCGCACAGGGCCATGAGCCTGCAGCAGAACACCACCAGCCACACCAGCAGGAAGTGCAGCAGGAAGGGCTCGGGGCTCGGGCGCAGGTTGGCCAGCCAGTAGGTGGGCATCCCATAGATGAGGATGTAGGCACAGTGCTCCGGGAGCTCCCCGAGGATCTGCAGAGAACAGCCCTTGCCAGCATGTGGAGCCAGCGCCTTGGTCTGCCACTATTCTCTATAAAAGGCCGGAGACAGCACCTCCCAGCGATGCCCACCGTCCCTCGCGTGATCAGGCTGCAGCAGGTGGGTGTGGGCGGGTGGGACCATGGAGCGTGAGCTCACGGCTGGCTCCCCCTGCAGATGCCAGGTGCTCCCTCTGGGACAGGTCAGAGCAGTTTCCCCCAGGGAGGCGGTGGGTATCTGCTCCAATAAGACTTGGATTCCTGTCTCCACCGCACCCGCCCAGACCCAGGAGCTGTGTGCTCTGGGACAGGTCAGAGCAGTTTCCCCAGGGAGGCGGTGGGTATCTGCTCCAATAAGACTTGGATTCCTGTCTCCACCGCACCCGCCCAGACCCAGGAGCTGTGTGACTTTGAGACAGACACACAACCTCCCTGAGCCTCCACTTCCTGGAAATGACAACGGTAAGCACCTGCCGGACCTGCTCCAGGGGACACGGTGGGACTGGAGCAGTGAAGTAAGTTAGATGTTCCCACCTTTTCTTTTGTCGGTTTCTGCTGACCAGGAAAGTGTCATTCCTGGTCCACAGCCCTGGCCTTCTGTTAAGTGTTTACAAAACATCAAGTCTCCAAAACCCCTCTAGGGAACATGGCCTCTACCGCCCCTGGTTCAGCAAAATGCTTCTCTGTAACTTCTGTATAATGAGTGCAGCTTCCTCTGCACCCCCCTCCTCTCCCTGCCCCCTGCATCCCCCCAACCCTGGGGCAGCAGTCACTCCCTCTCAGCCCTGAGCAGTCACCTTGGCAAAGAAATAGGGGCCGGCAGTGTACAGCCCGTCCTCCAGCTCGTAGTAAAGCATCGCCCTCTCCGAGTGACCTAGGGACGGGGAGCAAAGGACAATGAAAACGGGAAATTAACGCACAGTGTTCACAGTGCTCCTGTTTTGTAGTCTCTCTTCGTGCAACTAAAAATAGTTATAGTGACTAAAATTAAACGGTGTGTGTGTGTGTGCGTGTGTGTGTGTGTGCGTGCGCGCTTTAAGGCAGAGTAAAACCATTCTGATTTGGAGGTTTGTAATTCTGGGACTTGTACACTGCGGTCACGTGTGAATCCTGCCAGGAGAGGAATGCCTAGACGCCGTGGTAATTTGCTGGCATTTGCATATTAATATTAATGTGTGAATGTAGAAAACAACTATCATCTCTTATTTCACAATCATGGTGACATTCAGTAACCCTGTTTCCCCGGGAGCTCAGAGCAACACAGGTCGGCCTTGGACCAGTTCAGGGGGCTCCAGGTGTGGGTCGCGGGGAGCAGGGGACACTCACATTTGGCAATGACATCCAGGACCACGTTGAAAGGGATGAGAGCTCCGATCATGAACAAGAGGGCCGCCGTGTCCGTGAAGGAGAGCTTGATGGTCCCGTGGCCGTAATAGAGGAATCCGATGACCAGGGACATCAGGCAGGCCTCCGCCCCGTGGATGAGAAGGGTTGGTAGGTCTCGGAAGTCGTTGGCAATCTGACGCCTTAAAAACAGCAAAAGAAAGAGGTGCCACCTGTCCTATGACCTTGGCCGTGTCGTTGGATCTCTGTCAGCCTCATTGTTCTCATCTGTAAAATGGGGATCACCGCGACCCCTTCACAGAGTGGCTGTGAGTACCAAGTGATGGCAGATACTCAGGAAATGATTGTGTTGCTTTTATCATCGATCTACCTGGCTGGAGATTTTACTTAAAGAAGCCACCCCGAGGAAATAGCTGACCAGGCATGTAAAGGGGTGTGTACAAGGATATTGGCTACCGTTACTCGTAATAGCAAAAGCCTAAAATAGTCTGACCATCCACATGGGCTCCGAGGGTAACTGGATCGTGGCTGGATTGTAAGATCTGACCCACGAGGGGCAGAGGAACTATTCTAAGTAACCCTCCCTCCTCACCCCAAAAACACCCTAAAGTGATTACAGAACAAAGAACAATATGGGAAGTATAATCCCAGAACAACAAACAACGTGCAGAGTAAAACCCCACTGATGTTTTTTAAAGGTGTTTGCACACGGGGACCCCTTAGACAGCTCACAGGTGTGGTTTCCTCCAAGGGTGGGTGACGGGGCACCTGCCCTTCCCCGGGAGGGTCTCCTGTGTGGTCTGAATTCTTCACCACGAGCCTGTGTGGTTTCTGTGGTCATTGTCCAGTAAGGACAGGGTTTTGTTTAAAGAACAAAAGCAGGAATCATCCGCATCACACACCAGGGCTGGTGCTGGTCTCGGTGACGCTGCCTTTTTCCCAAAGATTTACCTCTTTACATTCACTCGACTTCCAGGGGCTCCTTCAAATTCACTTTAGATAGGGCTTAACGGGATACAACAGACTCTCGCCGGGGTGGGGTCGGGTGGGATGGTGTGTGTGTGTGTGTGTGTGTGTGTGTGTGTGTGTGTGTGTGAAACAGCAGACCATTACCGGATCAGCGTGGTAAACTGCTGCACGGGGCCGGGCAGCCGGGTGGGCGTCGAGAGGTGGTCGGGGTCACGTGGGAGGACCAGGCTGTCAAGACCGAGAGTGTGTCAGGGGGACGTGGGGGCGGCCACCCCCCGGAGGGCTCTCCCCACTGAGCCACCCGGCCGCCTCACCTCTTGGAACCAGAGTCCCTGGCCTCCGCTCTCCACAGACAGTCGTCAAAGTCGCGCACTTTTTCCTGAAACAAGGCTGCAAGGGACCGGGCCTTCTCCCTGGTGGCCGCTTCCCGCTCTCCGCTCTGCCTGTCTATGCTGGTCAGGTCCACTGGAAGCAGAGCGTGTGGTCACTGCGGGGGCTGAGCCCAGCCCCACATCCAGGTTCCTGCCGGGACCTCTTCAGGACAGAGAAGGTGGCACTGCACCTTTGGGTCCACAGGCCGTGGCACCGGGAAACCCTGGCTCCCCCCCCCCCCCCCCCCCCCCGCCACCCGGCCCCCGGGCGGGGGGGCGGCCGGGACAAAGTATTCCAAGTTCAAAGTTCCAAATACGTAAAATACTAAAGGGTTGGCACTTCTCCCACAGGTAGAAGCACCTGAGGGACTATTGATTCGGGCAGCTTTGGGACACTCAACTCATCCTTGAAAGCCACAAACAAAAGCCCAGGACCAGACGGCTTCACAGGGGAGTTTTACCTGTCCCCAGGTGGGGGAGCCACGTGACAAGCTGCAGTGCCAGCTGTCCCCTCCCACCCCACCGGGGAGCCCAGACCACAGCCTCCTCTCACAGGCCGCTGCAATGCTAGGAGGGCACACCTGGCTGGTCACACCAGGGCCTTCCTAGCCCAGCCCCCGCAGGCTCCCCCCATGCCTCCCTTGGCTGGGGTTACCCCTGAGCCTCTCTGCCTCTTCCCTCCTCCATCCTCGTGGCACCTCTCAGGCCAGGATCACGTCTAGGAGGGTCTTGTGAACTGTGACATGTGCCCTCGGTGTGCAGGGCTGGAGCTCAGGACCCCAGGCTCTGGGCACCGCTAGGCTCTGCCCACACCCCCAACACCCCGTGATGGTAAGGGTCTTATCAGCAAGAGCCTCCCCCTCCCCCGCAAAAAGATGATAATAAAAAGTAAAGAAAAAGCAAGTTTTTTCAGGGCTGATATGGGTGTTTGACTTCTGGTAACCCCGCTCCGGGGTTACTGCAGTTCCTCCCTGTGGCAGGTTGGCAAGTGCCCTCTGCCCCCTTATCTGGGGCCGGCTGGCCTGAGGATGACACACTGGCAGGAAGCCCGGCTGGCACCTGACACAGGGAGGGAGGGGGGTGACTTCTAGGTGAGTTCACACTGTGCGAGGGCACAGGGTGAGGGCTGGCGGGTGGAGAGAGTGCCCATCCTCCTAGGGGAGGGCGGGAGGGTGGACACTGGGAGGAGGAGGACGGGCAACAGGGCCTGGCACAAGGGCTGGGAATCCCAGTTCTGTGCCTTACAGCGGGGCAAGGTGTTTAACTCTTTGGATTCCCATCTTCTCATCTGTGCGGATGGAGGTGACCTTGGCCTGGCAGGGCTGTGAGGGTCAAAGGGACACCCTGTTTGGTGGGGTGCCCCTGGGCCCTGTGCCTGCCCTCAAGGAGAGGCTCCCTGTCATCATGCTTATGGTAGGGTCCTTTCTACTCCAGGCTGTCCTGGGAGAAGGCTGGGCCCGCAGCCAGCTGTGGGTGCGCCGTGGCCGCTGCTTCCCCAGCCCTGGCACCGGGTGCGGCCTGCCCAGCTGCACCACGTTCCCCCGCACTCAGGGCTGGGCACCTGCTTGCAGGGCCGGCATCTGGGAGGCAACTCTCCCCACAGGAGTGAGGACAGTGCCCACGTGTCCCCTGAGGGCATATGGCATCAGAGCAGGCCCGACGATGGAAGAGGGGAACTCAGCAAATGCATCACAATTAAGGAGTTTGGCTACAGACTTTACTTTGAATTACTTTATTTCTTACCGAGCGCCTTCTGGCTCGCTGCCTCTGTGGGTGCTGCTTTAAGATTCCCTGGAGGCCTCCCAATTTCAAATATCCTGTTTCTGTATAGAGCAGTGGTTATCAACCTTCTGGCCCTTTAAATACAGTTCCTCATGTTGTGACCCAACCATAAAATTATTTTCGTTGCTACTGCATAACTGTAATGCTGCTACTGTTATGAATCGTCATGTAAAGATCTGATATGCAAGATGGTCTTAGACGATCCCTGTGAAAGGGTCATTCAACCCCCAAAGGGGTCGTGACCCACAGGTTGAGAACAGCTGATTTCACAGCTGATGAAATTGAGACCAGAG